AGACGTGGGAACGATTCAGTGAGATTACCACTTTTAGGATGGGGTACTTGATTGAAGATTCGACCATCGATGGAGGTTCGATATCTTAATCTGAAGTGCCACAAGCCTGCGTTGGATACACGAAGGGATTGAATGTTTCGTAGCAACGCGTGATCGGAGATCCATCGAGCCTGGTAAAATTGAGGAATCTTGAAAGTTGTGAGGGCGAAGATCAGCAACCGGGTCTCCGCGTGAATCTGCCTCGAGGTCGCTGGTAAGCGGAGAGCAACATCTTTTGCGGGGGTGCCATCATCGTTCATCGGGATCCCATGGTGCTTGGAATGTGCTCCGCTCCTCCAGCGAATGCGATATCTGAGTTTTACATAGGCGCAACTCATGGAGTATTCCCAGATCTGGAGTCGGAGTTCGGCTGGTAAGCGTAGGAGAGGTGAAACAGATGCGTTGCGTTGTGAGCTACTTAGTTAGCAATGCCAGACTGCAGTGAGTTGACATCTTACATGGCTAGCTTGTCTTCCGGCACAGGCGCCGGGATAGTCTCTTCATCTCCTTGATGCAAAGAAGACGATTGACCCTCTGACCGCGTGTGCATTTGGTGTTCGTTGGTTACTTGCATCGTCATTTCGTGGCTTTGTGTTCGCGAGCGGTTAGGTGGCCTTGACGCGTCGTTGCCGCGTAGTGTGGAAGTTGCGATCTCGCGATATTGTGGAGGTAGAGCTCTAGCAGGCGTTTGTCGTCGAGCTTTTGAGAGTTTTGGTAAGTTGAGTGGGATGGAGAAATCGGCAAGCTTAAATCATATGCTAGCTCCAGAGGTGTACTTTGGTTGAGATTTCCGAATTTTTGCCGGAACCCAACTGAAACCAAGGCTTATAATCAAGACGCTCCAGGGTGGGTATATCGGTCTGATACTCTAGGTGTCTTCCGTGGGAGTCTTCTCTTTATCATGAGCTTTCTTAGGCCTCGCCTCAGTATCTTCCTCTCCCTCCGCGTCCTCATCACTCTCCCTCATATAAACCACCATCCCATTCAGCGCATTCCCATGCTTCTCAAACTCTCTTAGCGCCACCTTTTCCCTGCCTTTTATCCACTTCTTGCCCACCTCATTGCACTCCTCCAATCGCTCTTTCTTCTCCTTCGTTTGCGCATACACACTGTAGTCGTCCAGGATCTCGTTGCCTACATACAACACCGGGTCTTTCGATTTGAGGAAAGTCGGTAGGAGAAGATACCAATCCACAAATGGCGAGTAGACGAAGGATTTGGACGTGATGTGGGCCTGGAGATCGGAGTCGAGGACCGTGATGGAGAGGTACGATAGAAATTCGATGTCGAGGGTTGTGAATGCTGGGTCTTGGGCGAAACATTGTATCTTGGTGTCCTTGATTTCGTCTTTGACTGCGTGGAGATTAGTGATCTTGGGCGGATGCAAAGGGTTGAATATCAACAACATACGCCGGTTGACTGCATCGACAAACAGTACAAGCTGCCAGAGACTCCTCCACCGATGCGCCCAGTCTCGACTGAAACTTCCGATGCCAATGCATACCGCTTCTTCAACATCCCCTTTGCCATCAGCGCTTTTCTTCTCCACAATCTCTTTGACTTGCTTCGCAAGCAGCGTATCTTCCCACCGCTCTTGAAGCAGGCGGAAATCGTCCGATAATTTTTCTGCCGTCAACCCCTCTACTGTTTTCGTAGGCAAGGACCCAGCATCTGCCTCCTTCTTCCCTTTCCCATCAAGCGAAATACTCGCCAAGCCATGGGTAATGACAGTCCACCCATCCTCACTCTGCACCTCCTTCCTCTTAACGCGGCCTCTTCCTTTCTTACTCATATTTCCCCACTACGCACCTTTCTTTACTCGGTCTTGGCGAAAAGAAACCCAAGCGCATACTCCCTTCACCACAAGCGCACGTCAAACCCACAATGACGCACACTGCACAAAAAAGGTACACCGATCGTCGCGTCGTCGACTTAAGGTGCGGCTTGCATGGGCGCCTAAGTAAGGCGTGGCCAAAGTATCGAGGGCGAGGCGATGACGGGAAGGGACCACCTGGGCGCGTAGAAAATCATCGTGAGAGGCCAGGGTCTGCTTGGGTTTTAGTGGGGAAAGGGAGGCTCGGAACGGGATTTCCGATGGCGGAATGGCGGCGACCTTGGCTGTGGCCCGCCAAACCACAGTAAAGATTGTGTGGGAACTGTGCCTCTCTTGATTAGGGGTCCGCTATCTGGCCTGTAGCTGTAGTTCAAGCCATCCGCTCACTTTAGGGTTGCGCATGCGGATCAGGCCTCCTGCTGACGGCTTAGATACACAAGCTATTTTTTGTTGCAGTCGGTATAAGCATGACAGCATATAGCTTACAAGTGAGCGACTAGTGGAAATGCAAGTATTGGGATTATGAATGGTATTGCATGTGTATCTTCTGTACATCATACCGCACAGTAACGTGTTATGTGCCCCTAAGAAAGACCGTCATAGCTGCTGAACAGCTGGTCCACCAACCACCCAGATCAGACCACCGCGTACGCTCCAATTCGAGATCGTCGCTTCAAAAGAGACCGGATATCTTTCGCGCCAAAACTCCTTGCCCGTAAAAAGACTATATTCGCAGATAAAAGTCAGGTTCGTACACTAGACAACCCATGTAATCCACGACGCTGCTGCAAGCATTGCCGGCACTATGATTGATGCATAGGTGTTGACGACCATGTTGTGTGGCGCTGGCGATGATGTTGTCGAGTATACGATTTGGAAGCCAATGTGGTCGTCGACGTTTGTTGTGTTAACGCAGTTTGAGCTGTTGACTTCAGGAACATCCTCTGGTTCGGCGAAAGTGATATCGGCACACTGTTGGAATCTATTAGCAACTATACGGCTGTCATGTTCACGCGCTTGCACTCACGTTGTAAAGAGCAGCGCCGTGTTGCGCAAGCTCAATAATTTGGATAGTCGCGTTGTCTCCAACCTGGGGTGTGTAGTTGGCAGGTAATGGGACTTGCGGTAGACAGAAGGAACCGGGGTATTCTTGGTTTGTAGGCCCTGTAATCTGGAAGACTGGGACCATCGTGTGCGAGTAGTTTAGCGGTTCGTTGCCGTAACCCATGTTGACGTAGAACATGGCGAGCGAGTGGCCTGGGAACCATCCGGGTTGGATTGCGACGGCGCCACCGTTAACCGGCCACTTTGTGCGATTTTGCGACATTGGCATGCCACCACCTAGAAGTACATGTTAGTTATCTTCTCCTGCGCGGAATACCCAATCGGGAAAACGTACATGGGTACATCCATTGCATGCCGTATGGAAATCCATATGTGCCGGTGTCTTCGTGGTAGTTGATACCAATCGAGCCATCAGGGATCGATGGGTCTGTGTCAGACTTGGTTCCGTTGGTGTGGATGTTGTTTCCTCTCCATCCTGGGTAGACGATAACGGTATGTGCAGTAGCGAGTGACCAGGTAGCGGCGATAAAAACGAGCTCGGTAAAACGAAACATTTTGGCGGTGCGATGTGGAAAGCAAAGACTGTTGCGTAGCGGAAGTCCTTGTCTTTAACGATTCAGTGACCCGTCAGCTTTGGGGTACACGATTTGATGGTAGTCGACGCAGAACGGGCAGCGTGCGGTGGCGGGGGGCATCAGCACTTATGGATTACGGGACTTGGCCTCGAGGGCCTCGTGCAACCATGGCATTGCTCGCCAAAGAGACGCTTCAGGCGAATGAACAGAGCAAAACGGGCCCGCCAGCATGGCCAGCCTTTGCATGTCAGCCCTCGAAGCATTGAGTAGGCAGCGAATAGGCACGTCGCTAGCATATTGAATCTACAGGGGCCAGCGACCACTGAGCTTCACGTATGCAGGTCTTGTCGGGCGGGAGGGAAAGCCTCTGTCGGCGGAGCGAATAGCGTCCGAGGTGGCCATGCGCATGGCGCCTCTGATTTGCAGAGGCGTGTGATGACTTTGCAGAGTCTCGGCAGTCCGGCCAGGCACCTCTAAGCGCCCAACTACTCCAGAGTCCACATGCCCACCAGCAGACAGCGAGGAAGGTTTCCGGATCTGAAAAATGCCCTCATCCGCGCGACTCGGCCGTGATAGTGTGACCAAGGCGTGATGCAGAATCTTGAAACGCCGCAGCTACACCGCGTAGGCGACGTCTGTGTTCATGGGAGAAGAATGCTGAAAGACGCAGACAATCGCGCGCACAGTCAGCTAGCCGCCACTGGCCCCCAACGAACGGCGATCAACGCCCTCGCCGCAATATAATCCCCAGCCGTCAACATGCGCATGTTTCTATCCTCATATCGCTGCATGAGGGCTGCAGTGCGACAGCTGGGGAAGGCCGAGTGTCGACGATGCTGATTGGGAGCTTGTTTCGCCGCCCCTGGTCGCTTGGAAGTGTCCACTGCGCCGGGACGAACGAAGCCTCCATTCGCAATAACCAATTGCTTGAAAAGGCATCTCTTCTGGGCCCGCGTCGTGCCGAGCGCACCAGCACACCATCCGCGCAGTGCCATCTTTCGTGCGGTTCGCTGCTAGTGCCTGTCTGTACGGCGCGAGGTACCGCATTCGTACTCCCCTTGCTTGAGGCAAAAGAACATCTTTGCGCACTGGGGTTAGCAGCGAACAAGCATCGCTTTAGCCAAGCGCCATGAGATTGTCGATCGTGTTGGACGCAGGGTGCACGGGTTCGTTGATTCTGGCGTCCGGGATAGCGGTTGCGTGAGGTACGACCGCTGTTGATGCTGCCAAGTGTGGTGCCATGAGCGCCTTCCTCGAGCACTGAGAGACCACGGCCACCTTCCTGCGATGGGGCTTCTTGCCTCGTCACTCAAGTCATGCCTTCCAACATCGCAGGTGTAAATAGTATCCACCTTACAGGTCCTTTCTGGCTCTGCTTGTCACCAACCGTCCTGCATCGATATTCTTCGATGACCGCGGCCTCCATCGAACATTATTACTCAGTTCGATCTTAACTTCGATCACCACCCGACACCAGAGCTAGTGACATGTTGTCGCTCGTCCCAGCGCGGAAGAGAAAGGAAGCCCATAACGCGATACAACTATCTCGTGATAAAGGCAAGGTTCGCGTCATCGAGCGATCAGCAGAAGGGTACTCCAGCGGCTCCACGAAGAACCTACAGGGGCGCAACAGCACCCCTGCTAGCCGTACCTTTACTACACTTCGTCGTGGAAGCATCAGAATCTTCTCAATCTTCCGCAATGGCAAGAGTTGTTACCCATTTCTGCCTGGTACCTCCTGGCTTCTACTGATAGTACCAACAGGTTCCGCTCCAAGCTCCGGCGAGGCTACCTTTGGTAGCACTGGGTCAACGGTCAACAAACCAGCAGACGTACAACGTGTCGATAACATCAATTCCTACTCCAACTCTCCTCTACAGTGCCCTGTCGTTCCCGATGTACCTATGACTCTACCAGCTCTCTCCCTAGATCCGGACTCTTCATCGTTACTCCAACTCACAAACGCTGCCGTCTTCGATGGTGAATCAGAACCTATACCAAGAGCCCGCACCCCGCCTCCTACACCCATGACAACAAGCTGGTCAACACCAAGTCTCTCTCAGCAACTCACCGCCAAGATTTCCAACGCCCTAATGAACAACGATACGGTGGTACGTCGACCCAAAATGAGCTCTCGGCCAATGGTTCGAACAGACCATTTCAAGCATCCAAGCGATGATCAGCGAACTGCCACCTCGCCCAAAAGCGCCATGTCAGAGGTTCCTTCGCTTCCATCAAGTGTCCTGAGCCCCTCCAGCAGCGTCGCACCGCTTAGCCAGTCCACTGCACCGACATCGTTGGTCTCATCAGGCGCGCCGCTGTCTGCTGAAACCACCTATCGAAGTCAGAACGGTCGTCATATAACCGACAATCAACCTGCGCTCTATTGTGAGGCGACCCCAGAACGTTTGCCTCCAAGATTCCTTGTCTTTCCACGTCAAGACGCTCCGCGACTGTGTGAGCCTTCCGTTGCGACTATTGAGAATGCAGCAGCGGCGAAGATCTTCTTTGAGTCACACTTCAATCAGCTTCTCGGTACCAAGGTCACACCACGATCTATGCGTCGCCGCCAAATGGAACGGAAGGTATTCACCATGGCCATACCGAACGAGCAACGTCACTCCAAAAGGCGAGAATAGTATCTTGCAGAGACGCATCATCTGCGTCAAACCCGTGTCATGAAGTCGAATACCCTAGCGCGTCAGACGATGAAAGGCGTGCACATTTCCAATTACGACATCGTAAGAGTCCTCGGGAAAGGTAGCTTCGGTGTTGTGCGTCTCGTCCGCGAGAAGAGCGACAATTGCGGCAGTCTACGCGGAAGCAGCTGCAGTATGGGATATCTCGATGGCTCATTGACGCCAAAAACTGATAGGCCTTCCCCGACCATCCGCAGACAAAAGCAAGTCTTCGCCATGAAGGTCATCAGAAAGTCGGATATGCTTCGCAATAGCCAAGAGGGACATTTGCGAGCAGAGCGAGACTTTCTCGTCGCGTCAGAGAATTCGCGATGGGTAGTTCCCCTCGTTTCTGCTTTCCAGGACAACAACAACCTTTATCTCGTCATGGAATACATGATGGGCGGCGACTTCCTGGGCCTCCTTCTTCGCGAAGACATCCTCGATGAGAACGTCGCGAAGTGGTATCTCGCAGAGATGATACTGTGCATCGAGGAGGCACACAAGATGAACTGGATCCATCGCGATGTCAAGCCCGACAACTTCTTGATCACGTCGTCTGGCCATCTCAAGATCTCCGACTTTGGCCTCGCCTTTGATGGACATTGGGCTCACAACCAGACTTACTACAACGAGCAACGATACGGTCTACTCCGCGACTTGGATCTACATGTCAAAGGCGACGCACAAGACGTTGAAGAAGACAAGGATCGATCAGACGCTCACAAGACCATGAATCTCGTCAATGGAAGCGCAGCGGCCCGCGGTCGTTACCACACCAGACAAGCCTCAACGCATGGACCTATCATCGACTGGTTAAATCGAGAGCAGAGGCGTGAATTCGCCAAGAGTGTCGTTGGTACGAGCCAATATATGGCACCAGAGGTCATACGAGGCGAAAGCTACGACGGTCGCTGTGACTGGTGGAGCATTGGTATTATATTATACGAGGTATGTGGGCATGAGATGTCATGCTTGTTTACACTGACGATTTCGTAGTGCCTTTACGGCTGCACGCCCTTCTTCTGCGACAACCGCCAAGCTACGAAGATGCGCATACTCGTAGGTTTGGCTATGATACGCTGCGTTCTGGTGCTGACTCGCTCAGGATCATAGGAGGTGGCTGCGATTCCCATCTGACCAACGTTATGCCCGTCCCAACATCGACCGCGTCCCACTCATGCCAGTTTCACGCAACGCAATCGACCTCATGATGCGACTGCTCGAGGACAGACAAGATCGTCTCTCAGCTAAGCGATACCGTGAGAACGACTGGGTCCTCCGCGACAAAGCTGCCGGTGCGCGCCGCAATCGTAACGTCAACACCACCGGTCATATTGTTTACCCCAACGATGCCGAAGACATTAAGTCGCACCCGTTCTTCCGCAACATTCAGTGGTCACAACTGCATCTGACTCGTCCACCATTCGTACCACGCGTTCACGGCGGTCAGCCAATCACCAAATACTTCGACGATGAGGCCGAGATCATGAGCGCGTCTGATCATCTCGACTCTTCAAGCTACGAAGCTCTCAGAGGGCTGGCAGACCCTGCGATAGAACTTCGAGATGGTGAGTATGATGCTACGTCTCCAGTCCAGCCGACTGCCCAGCATGATGGTGCAGCTACGCCCGCTCAAGAAGGGTTCGCGAAGTCATTGCGGGACATGAAGAGACGCAAACGGGAAAAGAAACGACCTCGTGACAAGCTTCTCCGAGATCCAGACGTCAGCCAAACTGTTCTGGAGATCAGGAAGAAAGGTGCTTTCGTGGGCTACACATATCGCAGGCCCAGGTTCTCATTGCTGGACTTGGAGGACAAAATCGCTGCAAGACCTCACATCACACGCGGTGGAATAGTTGCTGCGAGTGCTTAGTGATGTAGGCTCTTTGTGCTCTCTGCGGAGTGTAGGGTTTCTTCGAAAAGGATTGTTCAGTTCTTGAGCCTATCAGGATGCGCATGGTCCTGTAATTGCTGTTCGATTGTTACTAAAAGATGTAATAATCTCTCTCACCTTGACCGCCATCTCAGTCTCCCACCTCAGTGGCCAGCATCGCATTGCAGATACTACTAGCGCCGTCTGGAGCACAGGTGAGATCTATATCATGCCCGTCTTTCTCAGTAACAAACCTTCCTACACCACACTTTCCGTCTCAGCCTTATCACACAACGATTACAATCAATTAAATACTTCACATATCCCCATCATGATGCTCTCCAGAGCCATTCTGCTATGCCTTACCGCGATCACCAGCATGGCCGTCGGCACAGCCCCCGCAAGAGAGTCCAACGACCCGATGCCAGACTTTCTCAGCCACAAGGACAAGCCCAAACCCGTCGACAAGCCCACTCTCAATCCTCCAGTCTTGGACGTGAGCGAGTACCTGGTCAAACAGCTGGCGCACCCGACAGTAAACGAGGTCAAAATGTGGAACGACAGCAAGATTAACTACGCGTGCAAGAAGATATTTACTAAAGAAGGCTACGAAGTCGAGGCTATTGAGATGTTCGAGGTTACGTATGAAGATGTGAGTTTGAAATGATGTCTGTTGTTGTTAAATGACGATGTGCTAACGAGTCTGCAGTGCGACGAGACACCATGGGTCATGTGCCGCCACAAAGACGCCTGGTATCAACCTGACCTCATGGAATTCTACATCGGCCTGATTCCCGTCAACATGCGTCGATTCAACCGCCACTTCATCGCGCTGCCGGCCGACGACAAAGGTGGCCGGGATGCTTACAATGACTACGACACCATAGTCTGGAAAGGGCAAGCCAGTCTGCACAGTATCATCGCCGAATCCGCAAAGTCATTGGGCCAGTATGTAGGCGGAGGCTTTCCAATATGGAGTAAGTCACCTCGCGCTCTCCACCATCACTCTTTTTGCTTCTACTGACCACTCGCTATAGGTTCTGGTACTCTCGCTTGGTCCGATCAGACGTGGGCTGACCTCGTTGGGCACAACGCCACAGCAGTGATGAACCCTACGTCTCAGATTTCTCTCGAAGAGGCATTCGCTCAGACTATGGTGCTTGCCATTGCGGAGATGCAGGACGTACCTTTGGGTGCTTTCATCCCCGAGTATAAGAAGATTTCGGTGTTGGTCACCAGCTTGTGGGAGAGCTTCATGTGGGTCTTACTTGTTAGTAACCTGTTATTTTGCCATGAGAGGATTTTGGAGGATAGCCCTGTGGGTTTGCCGGGACAGCTGCCGGATATTGAGGTCTAAGTTGGCATGCCTGATGGATCTAGTGGTAGCTAGGGAATGAACGAGTTGGCTTCACAAGTAGGGTCAAGTCAAGGCTGAGCTTGGAAGGAAATCGGGTTCTTCACGTCTTCGTTGGAGGCATGAACACCTATCCAAACACACCCAATCAAAATTAAAAACTATCCCGTCTCCCTCTCTTCCACCACCTCCTCCCATCCGTCCCACCAGCCCCACGTCCAGTATCCCTCCACAAATCTCTCAGATACCGGCCGTATATCGCCCACAACACACTGGCTATCACACAAATCGCAATAACGCCCGTAGAAACACCCAGGCCGATCGATGCTGGTACGCTTAGACCGCGATCAGGCTCTGCTGTAATGGAGGGTAGTGCGGTGGGTGAAGAGAGAGTTGCATCAGACGAAGACGAAAAAAGAGTTGTTTGTGGAGTGGACGATGGGTCTGGAGGAGGCGTTGTAACAGTAGACGTAGTGGGAATCACTGAAGATGACTTGTCATCTCCAGCCTCGGTAGTTGAAGTAGTCGTTCCGGCGTCAGTCGTCGAGGGTACTATAGTGATAGGATCCGGTCTCGTGACTATGGGAAAAGTCTCCAGATCAGTTGGGGTTGTGGGTGTCGCGTTTATGGTAGTCACGATAGTAGTGGCGGGGCCCATCGATATGATTATCGGAGGGTCGCCACCGGTTTTTGTGGATGCCGACATTGTTGCCGAGATATCTTGTCAGTGTTGTGATGAGCCTAGGTATTCTCGTGGCTATGTAAGGGGTATGAGGGGGGTGAAACGGGGTGACATGGTGGAGGATTGCGGGAGAGTAGCAGCGACAGAGTACCTAGATTGTTAGGTGCTTGCTTGGGAAACGGGATGCGACATGTCGTTTGCGTGGTGGTCCACGGGTGTGACGGGTGGGTGTGCTGGCGTGGAGTTGTTGGGGTCGCGTGGTGGTGGGTTGTTTGCCAGGCTGATGGTAAGAGTGAGCCTTCTTCACAGATTTGAAGATGGATTAAATTTTAGAAGTTCCTATGGTATTGTATGTATGTCCTGATGGGAGCCGAACATGTCGCAATGTCTAGAGATAGTGGTTGGCAGCTGGCATGTGTAAAGTCTACCCCTACGCTCAATCTGAGAAGCCGAAATCTCACATCGCTTACAATGGATACATCAAACAATTGGTTGGAGTAGGTTTTCTGTTTGCATCGGCCTGTTGGTGTTCGGGCAGGGCAGCGAGCTCGGTGCTGGAGTCATGAAGGTCCGACGAACACGGAACTCGGACGTCACCCATATCCGGACTCACTCAACGACCGTTTGTTTCAAGACTTTCCTTTTGCATATACCCCACAGCTGCAATAACGGAACTACATCATGTCAGCCTCGGACGACCTCACCAATCTTGCGACCCCGCCAGCGTGCATTGCAGACTTTTGTCTGATCCCCCTGGGCACCCCCACAGCATCAGTATCCAAGGAAGTCGCGGAAGTGCAGCGGCTCCTCAAGAAAAGCGGCTTGGATTATTCGATGCATTCCGCGGGGACAACAGTTGGTATGTGCCTGCACACACCCCACCTTCTGAATTCTGTACGCTCTCGCGTGCGAGCCAACCCTCTTCTCGGCCGGTATGCGGGCCTGATGGCTTGGAAGGTGGAGGGGTATATGGAACATTCTTGAATGTGCATGCTAATTATGGTTAGAGGGCTCGTGGGACGACGTTATGCGGGTCATAGGGCAATGCCATGCGATGTTGCATCAGAATGGGATTGTGAGGATTCAGAGCGATATTCGTGTGGGGAGCAGGACCGACAAAAAGCAAGGATTCAAGGACAAGGTCGACGCTGTGGAGAAGCTGCTCAAGGAAGATCAAGGCGCAGCGTTGTAATGGGCCGAGTATCAGGATGCGCGTGACTGAAGGAATGTGTGTGTTGTCTCAGTTCCAAGGTCGCCAGGTCATCCACGTGTACCAACCACCTGCGATAACGACGGATGCATGAAAACAAATTTCACGACTACAGATGATGTACCCGCGCACGGCAGATCTGCCTGCCAAAGCTCGGATGGTGATTCAAACAATCGGCCGCTGCTATAATTGGGCAATTTCCTACTCGACGGCGTGGAGCTGCTGGGGTAGCTGGGCTATAGCGAAGATGGGGAAATTAGTACCTGACAGGCCAAACGGGTGCCATGGAAGCATATTGTGTTGACATGTGGCTAGACGTAGGGCTTTTTGAAACTTGTCGATCAAGGTGGCAGTGGTGGCAGCGAATCACTCGCAGCGGGATGCTAGTCTGTAACGTAGACGTGCATACAACGGCTCCAGGCTCTTCACCGCCAGTCGCGATGTTCAGGTAGACTAAACCGGATGCGAGGGGCGGGTGCTGTCTGCGCACGGCCGACGAGCGGTTGTGTAAAAAGTTGGCGGCATCATCCTTGACGTCGGTACCTTTCACCCGGAAAATCCCCTCGAGTGCCGCATGTGCTCCCACGCTCTCTCCACCACGACACGCCCATCTATACCTGCCCACACCGCCCGCAATATTCACTGCCCGCCCGTCACCCCGCCCGTCCCGTCCGAAACACGCCCACCCCCCAGAATTGGCCTCGTGTGATCGCATGGCGAATGCACGCGACAGCAGCATCATCTGCCAATCCCCAACACCCGCGCGGTAACCACGTCGACGCTCCACGCATCAACCACCCACCATGGCCTTCAACTTCAACTGGTCGCCGCTGATAGCCGACACGTCGAGGGCGCGCGACATGCTGACGACGGCCCTCAACAAGTCGCCCAAGCCGCCCATCATCGTCGACGACATCATCGTCACCGAGCTCAATCTCGGCACCACCCCGCCCGAGCTCGAGATACTGGAGATTGGAGACTTGGCTGAGGACCGGTTCAGGGGCATCTTCAAGATGTCGTATGCGGGCGACGCGTTTCTGACGCTCAAAACAAAAGTCCAGGCAAATCCGCTGAAGACGTATCTCTCCAACAAGCCAGACTTTGCGTCACCGCAGCCGCTGGCAGCGTCATCGGGCTTGACTATACCGTTGCAAATTACACTGTCTAATATCCGACTGTCTGGTTTCGTCATCTTGGTCTTCTCCAAACAGAAGGGCTTGACGCTGGTCTTCAGGAACGACCCTCTGGATTCGCTCAAGGTCTCGTCGACGTTTGACTCAATCCCCTTTGTGCGCGACTACCTGCAAAAGGAGATCGAGGGCCAATTGCGTGTCTTGTTCATGGAAGATTTGCCAGCTATCATTCACAGGTTGTCACTCCGCATGCTGTCGCCCGAGTACCAGGAAATCGAAACAGAAGAGCGGCTAGAGAGCGCCAACGATACCACCGCAGCCATCGATCCCCTCGCATCGCCACCACAAGACGCCGTCGATGCGTTCGGCAACCCACTCGACGAAGCCCAGATCTCGGCCTTGTCGCTCGACTCTGGCGAGATCCACGCCTCCTTCTCCCAGAAGAACATCCTTCGCCTAGCCGCCCTCTCCGAATCGCAACGAACCCTTTCCCTCTTCACACCTGGCATTCGCGATGCCGTCTTCCGAGCGTGGGCAGGTCACCCAGATAGGCCCGAGTCTGGTGCTGCGACACCCGCACTCACACAAGGCAGTTTGTCAAGGATACAGTCGACGTTTGGCAGTCTCAAGTCTGGCGCTTCGTCAGTCGCGTCTGGCAGCACAGGCAACGAGACGCTGAGCTCGCGACCCACCATGGCATCAGCGTACTCGACATCGGCGGGGCTCAGTCTTGGCTCAAGTCGCTCACGCACAGGTGGCATGCGGAAACGGAAGAAGCGCGTTGTTGATCTACGCAAGAAGGACGGCGTCGACTCCGGCGTCTCCACAGGGGCCAACACACCGTTGCCCAGCGCATACGCCTCCGAGACATCGAGCGTCATACCCGAGGAAAGAGAGGCAGAGGAGGAACTCGCTACCCCACCAACAAGCCCCGCACAACCTGGCATGCGCTTTGAGAGTAGACGTGGCAGTCTGGACATCGGTACGCCGAAACGGATACCCGAAGAACCTCCTGCTTTTGGCCCTCTTCTCGCCCCTGCGCCAGTCCTCTCAGAGTCATCGAAGCCTGGCAAATCGAAGCAAAAGACCCCACCAGCCGCTCACCTCGAAGACCCATTCATATCACACACCTCTTCCAGACGTCCGCCGCTGTCGCGCAACAAGCTACGCCAAGCACAGCAATCGACCTCGCCGCTCCTCCGCTCCCTGTCCTTTGACAAAGTCTCATCGCTCTCAGCCCTCTGCTCGCCGCCGCGCACATCTTCCCCACCGAACGCTGACGTCATGGCCAGCTCCGGCGGCATACTCGAACAAGCATGGATGACGAAGATGGCGCAGGAGATTGCTCGCAAGGTCCAAGAAGAAAAGGACCGATCATCTCGGCGACCGTCTCACACCCGGACGAAGACAGCACCCACAGGAGGCTTTTGGCAGAGCGACGATGAGATCGAAGCACCGCCCGCTTACGTTGCGTAAGCAATGATGAAGTTATGAGCCATGAAGATTTTCACGACGTACCGTCTTCGTACATATTAGTTCTTGCATGTTATTTTTGTCCATCACTTGTTGTTTCTTTTGTCTATCAAACTGCTTGTTAGCATTGGCGTATCAGGATTGGGAAAAGCTCGTTGCCGTTGGATCAACTTGAGTATATAACTAGGGGGGTTAGTGGGGCTCTAAACATAATGAGCGGTGCATAGAAGAGCCATGGAGAACGAAGGGGCAAGCGCGATACAGTGTCGTCGCTTTTACATATCAGACTACTAATCTCATTACCGAAGGCGACGTATGCGTCGCTAAGAAGAGTATATATCAAATCACTCTCATCTTCACAAGACCATATTTGGTGTACTTGACATCTTTTCTCATTACTCTATTTCACAACCGTCAAGGTCCTGGCACAGGAATAGCACCAATCTGCACCATCAGTCCAAAAATATCAGGCTGTCCCAACTCCTCCACAATCTGGCCGTTCTCAAACCGATAGATGTTGAGCGCTGTCATGCAAATGCTCTTTCCAGTAGGGGCAACGCCCATAAAAGGTCCGTTATGTGTACCGCGTGTTTCGAAGCGACATACGATTTTGTCGCCCTCGGCAATGGTTTCTTTGATCGTCCATTGGATGTCGGGGAAGGCGCTGCGCATCATGCCCAGGATTTGGAGGTAGCCGTCAAGACCTTGGAGAGGAGGGCCGCCGAAGGGGACGTGGAAGGTCGCGTTAGGTGAGATGACTTCTTTTCCGATGGCGACGTCGCCGCTGTTTATGAACTCCGTAAAGCGGGTCAGGTGGGGGAGGAGGGCGGAGGACATTGTCTGTGAGGTGAGTGATTAGAATTGGTAGGTGCTGAGAGACTGTGGGATGGGGTTCGTTACGTTGTTTGGAATTAGTGCAGGTTCCTTGCTGGATGGAAATGTTTCTTTTTGCGGACAAAAGACGATGTAGATTGCAACTACGATCTAGAGATAGAATTGACAACCTCGAAATTGATGTTGTAATGAGGAGATATGAGTAACGATCGCGAGCAGCTACGTCTTTATATCACAACTGTTCTACTGTAGTAACCATCCGACAGAAAGCTGAATAATCGCCACTAGACCGCCTTACCAAATCATACGTCTGTATCGCCTATTCATCACCTAGTGAGTTACCGTCGGTTACTACCGGTTGATTTCGAAAGCTATGGGTCCTAATCGTGGAAGGTTCCAAGATTATCCTTAGAGCGTCACCTACGCCGCTATAGGGCCGACGACGGTCTAGCGTGGTAAAGATCGAGGCAAAAGTCGCATATACTGATACGTGTCTTGGTGATATATGACGAGGACTGAATCGTGTTGCTGCAGTAGACGGTTGTTGCGGTATTGCACGTAACACGCGACTTGGGGCGTAGACGCGATAGCGAGAATTATCAAAGAATAGACAGCTACCTACGCGCATGTGAAAATGCGATGACCAGAACAGTAGCGGCTATATAACTGGAGCCTGCCAATCTGAACAAGATCGGTGCCTTGCATGCGACGTTCGGATGTTGTGCCTTTCGGATGATGTGTCTTCGGATGGTGTACCACCGGATGTTGTACGAAATGAAAAGAAGGGAATACTGATGTGCGAAACGCAAGGAAGGAGACACTGATTCACCTAGAAACCAGACGTCAGATTCACTGCGAAAGGGCAACCGTTCTTTCATGTTTGACAGGTCTCCAGTGTCCGGAAAGACTAGCGCAAAGATCGAGACTACAGGATATAGTTTGAGGCAGTACCATCTTGCATCCTACAGTAAACTCAGAATAACGATGTTCCCGCTATTAGCTACAGATGGGCAAAAAGTCTGCTAACTCACAACGTCCCAACTACAGGAGCTTAGATTGGCAAAAAAGAATGACCCGAAGACCTCAAGTGCTTTGTTCCCAAAACGTGTTTCTCAAAAGCCCGGGGGCGATGACTCATCGGAGGTTTGAACTCCGGACCTTCAGTGTACTAACGGGCTTTTGAGGGCCTTTGTTAGACTGACGTGATAACCAACTACACCAACGAGCCTTGCTTGATGAACTTTGGCCAAAAAGACTAAAATATGTACCAAGTCAAAAAATACGCTTTTGCGTGGTACGATTTTTACAAGACGCGACGACGACGATGAAGAAGTGGACTTTGATCTTTGGGCCGAAAAGCTAAGCGTTCTACGGTCAGAGTGGGGAAATACATGTCACTGAGCAGACGTGGTTGGGTCAGGGGCCGGCGGTGCGCGATCACGAACCTACCTTTACCTGGGCGGACAAGAACACCAAACGCCATCATTACCATTATAATCACTACGTTTCCAGTGCAGCTGGATCTTGAAGATCAGCAAACCA